CTTATGAAAAGTTACAGACCCTCTGCTTTGTAGACCAAAGACTAAAAGTAAAGTCTGGAAGTAATGTTTACAGCTAAACCTCATTTCTCTCTTCGGTGTCATTGCATTGTCATTGTATACAATACTTTTAGAATTGCTTTGGCATGTCTGTGGAGTTGCACCAGGGAAAATTTTTTTGTGGAGACTTGCTTAGGAAATGTTTATATCTCAGTTTTTACTTAGTAGCACAGACATGAAACACAGTGTCTATAAAATAAAGTACTCAACCTTTCAGACACCAATATTCAGTTAGAATATATTCAGATAGAATATTCAGTGAAGGTGAAACTCAGCATGAAACAACAACATGAGCTGAATGTACTCCTTTGGATAAGAGAAAAGAGACTAAAGTTGGTGAATGGTGAAATCTAATTTGTTCAGCTGCATATTTTGGCCAGAAGATCAGTGATGCAACTCCTTCTAAACTATAAACAGACGGTAATTTTTTCAGGGTCTGCGAAGTTTTACATTTCAACCTGATGTCATGATCTGTATTTTTATTTCTGTATTATCACAGAATCACAGAATGATTGAGGTTGGAAGGGACCAACCTCCTCCTCTGAATCTGGAGATCATCTGGTCCAACTCGCCCTGCTCAAGCAGGGCCACCTAGAACTGGTTGGCCAGGACCATGTCCAGATGGCTTTTGAATATCTCCAAAGTGGGAGGTGCCACAACCTCTTGGGCCAACCTGTGCCAGTGCTCGGTCACAGTAAAAAAGTGTTTCCTTATGTTCAGAGGGAACCTCCTGTGCTTCCATCTGTGCCCATTGCCTCTTGTCCTGTCACTGGGCACCACTGAGAAGAGCCTGGTTGCATCTTCTTTGCACTCTTCCTTTAGGTATTTCTCTATATTAAGATGATCTCCCTTGAGCCTTCACTTCTCTAGGCTGAACAGTCCCAGCTCTCTCAGCCTTTCCTCATATATCAGATGCTTCAGTCCTGTAATCATCTTTGTGGCCCTTTGCTGGTCTCCCCAGTATGTCCATGTCTCTCTTGCACTGGGGAGCCCAGAACGGGACCCAGCACTCCAGGTGTGGCTTCACCAGTGCTGAGCAGAGGGGAAGGATCACCTCCCTCGACCTGCTGGCAATGCTGTTCTTCATGCAGCCCAGGAGTTGTATGTATCTTTGTGTTGGACTGCCATATAAAAAGGTAGATAGATTTATCCTGTGAAAATAGTCACAATACAGACTTCTAGCTAATATCCCTTCAATTGTGCAGCTACACATTTTGTACCTCAGTAATTAAGGTACATGCTTATTGACTCAGTAGGAGTTTATGTGAGCAGGATAGGTTAGTAATACAGTGTCTTCAACCCATTTTCACATCTGTAGGCTAACAGCACTCCGATACTGCATTAGACATGAAAGGGATTTTCCTGCATTCAGTGGGCATCATTCCAGCGGCAGTGGATAACGGCTCAGCTCCAAGGGTGGAAGAAGCAGTGGTCAAAACAATATGGACACCTGCAGATCCCCTGTAACATTTCCCTCCTCCTCCCTCTCTAAAAAATCAAAGTAACAACCAACAAAAGTAGGAAATTATGAGGGGACAACAACATCTGAGACTTCTTGAGCAAACAGGGAAATTATATGTCTTAGGTGCACTGTAAGTCTTTTTGTCCCATCTTCTTCCCTACTCAAGTGTGTGTTTTGTAACAGCAATGGTGTTGGAGCCCTCAGAGAATGGATTTTGCAGCAAGCAAAGTCAGGGATGGTTGAGAGGATCAAGGAATCACACAAAAAGCAAGTATCCCCATGGATAGCCCTTTCCTCCATTGGAATATCTCTCTTTCCTGAGAGACAGGTACACACAGATTTTAGTTCTTTGAAGTCAGAGGACAGACTCACATCTTCCGCCACAGGAGACAAATCCAGCCCCATACATTTCCCAAGGAACAAAAGAAGGAATTCTACAAAATCAGACTCTCAGAGTTTAACCAGTCTTACACAGATTAATATCAGAGAGAGGAAAACTTAGACCCATGTAAGGACTTCTGGATTCAGCTTGCATAAATAAACCTCAGGGAGTGAGTGGGTGAGCAAGTCAAGTGAAAGATACCAAGAACAAAGGTGAAATTTTACATTTCTGTGGCTGCTGAGTATGCTCCCAGTTCAGTGGTACTAGGAGAGCTGATGTCCACCTTTAAGAATAGAAATAAAAAAGCAATTGGCTTGAGGCGAATGTTTTCATGTATACTGGACTTGCAGGGCTGGCAAGTCATTACTAAAGAGCAACTAGTGCCAAAATGTGAGACGAGATCTTCATACGGCTGTTGATTAAGTGGATCTACTTCCCCAATCATCCGTCCAATATTCCAATTGAACCTCCAGCCAAAATTCATGAGGCAGATTTCATTACATTAGTAGTGCCTAGCCTGAAGTTGGCATTCTGTTGTAGTCATGATGGTGGGATGGATAGGAGGCTGAAAGATGAATTAATAACACTTCATTATGATGGAATATCAAAGTATGTTGGAAGGTCACCTTGTGTTGTATAATTATATATTCAAAAGAATTTAAATTCTTGCTTCAGCCTTTAGTGAATCTGAGACAGCAGCAGCGATGGGAAAAACCTTCCTTAAAAATCCCAAGAATCATACTTGTTTTGGCATGACACTGCCTAAGGTGATTTGCAAACAAGGCTGACTTTGCCAAGCTTTCACATTAACACAAGGTTCAGCATACGTTTTAAAACATTAAATCAGCTTTTCATTTGCATGGATAGGATTATTTGATTCTGTAGATTTCATTAGTTTAAAGGGCCCCAATATTCTAATACTGGAGCCAAGATTAAATACTCATAGTAACTGTATGTTAATAATTTTAAGCAGTCATTCAAAAAAATGTCTAAGGTTGTCGTATTATCTGACTTTGGAAAACATGGAGTGTGTCTGCTGCCACAAACAATACTAGGATTGTAGCTGCTGACCACTTTGAAAATCAGGCTCAAAACTTACAGCAGAAGTAGATACTCCTCTTTTTTTGGAAGAAGACAGTATTGCTGGATACCTTAAAGCTTAAAATCCACTGCAACCTCCGCGTATGAGTTGAAACGGTCTTGTTAAAGAGTTTGCAGTTACTAAATATCATGTATATCTGGGAAGTAGCACATACTATTATTTATTATTTATTGAGAGTCAAAATAAATAAAGCCCTTTATGGATAAGTAACAGGCGACCACATTTTATCCCATCTGTTTCAATCTGATGTAGCATGGTTTCAAATCAGACTTGATGAAATTGTTCTCTCAATCTCCCTGCACAAAGCAGTTTGCAGTGTAAGTTGATACGATGTGACCTGAACGGCAGCAAACACGAAGGAGACAAAACGCATGTTTATTTCATCAAAGATGGTCAGCATGTCTTCCAGTTATTGCTCTGCTCTTTTTCTTGGTGGCACAGATTTCTGCAGATTATTATCTGTAACTGAGAAATGTCACAGTGCTCTGAGTCTACTTACTGTGTTTGGTGTGGACCCACCAGATAGGCAGTGACATGGAGCTCTGTTGTCTATTAGAGAGTGTCAACACGTAAAGTGCCATTTTTCAGAATTAACTCATGTTTAATAAAAGGAGATCCAGATTCTACACCTGCTCCTGCATCTGGGCAATGGGAGGGGAAAGACTATAGCTGAGTACTCCTTGTTCTCCCAGTGTAAATGGGAAGAGGTCTTCTCCTATGAAGAGCAACAGTGAAATAATGTCTTTGGCTATCACTGCTGTTAAGGACCTGTATCAGACAGAAGAAGAGGAGTATGCAGGGAGAGGCAGGAGAACTGACATTTCTCCATAACCACAAGCTGCCAGCTAAAACATGAAAATACGCATTGTTTATCAAGTCAGCAGGTCTCAGTTGAACAGTTTTTTAAACTGTAACCGTAAGTTTACAGCATGCACTGTACTCCAAGAACTGTGCTCCAGAGGAGAGGGGCTGGCTATCAGTTTGACCCCAGTTGGTGTCTTGGTTCGCAGTGTCTCTGAACTGCATTTCTTGGAGTAATCTACCATTTGTTGAACCAAAATGGTATGCAGCATCTGGGCCCTGATCTTCACAGATGCCCTCATTCTTGGCTGGATCCTTAATCATCTGTCAGTAATCTGTTGGAATGTCTTGGGAGTTTAAACATAAAATTGCATTGTTGATCACACCTTACTGAATTCAACACAAAGATGGCAATACAGCCATACAAATCTGAATTTCATATTTTACTTAGGCACTATGGGGTGATAGTATTTTATAAATGATGAGTGAAAATATTTTAAATTGCACTTTCAGAAGAAAAAGTGTGTACCACTCTCTGAAAGTATTTAAAGTCGCTGCTTTTTCTGAACGCCTTTGGACATTCAGCCTATTAATTTGTTTCTTTCCTGAACATATCTTTATTTATGCAGCAGAAGTATTCCTCTCCTTCAAGGTAAACTCTGAACAGTTTCACACCCCATTCTTTACGGACCTTCATCAATCCATTGCCATTTATTTGACCCATTAAACTTAGGAGGACGTTTCCAATACACAAGAAATTTAATTTTAAATTTATATCCATAATAATTCATCTCTAATTTTATTATGTCTTAATGAATTGCATGATATTCACTCTGTTTTTGTCTCTCTAAACAGCTATTTAAGTATGTTCTTTACAGTGTAAATATTTTGTCAATGATATAATTCACAGGAAGGTATTAGTTGAGAGAAAGTTATGTCATTCATGTTAAAGGATACAATTAAATTTTCAAAAGTAGGATATTCAAAAATATGTCTTGTCTGTGCCCTTTTTTATCAGTTTGATTAGAAACTTGAAAGGTACTCTCACAGACTGGATAAAACATAGAGGCAGAAGAAGTGAGGTCAAAAAAAACCCTCCCACATTCTCACCCTATGTTGGCACCTATCAATGACAAATATAAATTCAGATTAATTAAAACAAGTCACATCCTAAAAATATTTCTTTATTCTTTCAGACCACTCTTCCGTGGAAATTCAGATGTTGATCAGCTAGGAAAAATCTTTGAGTAAGTAATAACTAGTTGCATTATGTGAATATCTGTTTAACACTGAAATACTGTGAGGTATCTTTGCCATATTTTTATGCAATAATGTGACTAGAACAAAGTATTCCTAGAACATATTTCCTATTGCTACCGTATGCAACACGATATTTCCGTGTATTCTGTGTCAGAGTGGGAGGAGGAAGCAACATGGAATATAGTTCCGCAGAACTAACAGCCATCATCAGGAAGTTATGAAAGACCTCTCTTTTCGGCTTTTTAAATCTCTTAAACATATTGTCCATGTACCATTCATGCATATTGTCCATGTACCATGTTCTGTGTGCTCTAAACAACAGTTAGATTCAAGAGATTCTCTTCACATAAACAAATGCAGAGGTTTTATTTTTCAGTAATTTCTTTGTGCATTTCAGAAAACATTAGAATACTTTAAAATTGTTACTAAACTGAAATCTCTATGATGATTACCAACAGCTTCTTTGCAAAAAAGATTTCAGTACATAAGAAAATGTTTTAGCTTTTAAAATATACTGTGTAGGCTGTTAAAATGATTAACATAATTTGGTCGGGAAGGTAACAGTGAGAACAGAAGGAATATCAGCATTTTAACATATGCTTTTTCATAGATGAACTAATTGACTTTATTTTAAAACCATTTTACAATTCTAGGAGTTTGTGTTTTTCTTCTTCAGATATATCAAATATGTTGAGGAGGTGGGGAGACTCTAAACTCTCTGAGGTAGAATAATTCTCTGCCAAAATATGTTCTTAGTTAAAAAACAACAACAACAAAAAGTTATTGATATTACTGATACAACAATTAAGTGGGATTATATCACTTTTTCTTGTAAAAGCTCTTCAGAGCAAGAAATGTTTCTGAATTTATAAGAACCGTGTAAATTTAAGATCTGACATACGTATCGTGTAGCTAGGAAATCAAAGCCTCATAGGGCTGGTCCCACTCCGGAGGATGCATGCCCGTTTGCCTCTGCACCTCTGTCTTTCCTTTTCATATGGAGGGACTGCAGCAATCCAGGGATCTGGATGACATAAGAAATAGATAGGCAGAGAGAAAGAAGAGAGAAGGCTGAAATATTATCCTCTTGAAGATATTCCAAAGATAAGGTAGTAAAATTTCTAGTGAGAAGAGTTTAAACAGAACAAATAATGAATTTCTCTGTTTAACCATTTTTCCAGTTCTCAAATCATAACAGATCTGTTTCTAAGCATTTTCATTATTTAATATGAGGTTCCTAAATTGCTGGTCCTGATTTCACACAGTTGACTTCCCTTTCCTGCATACCATACCAGTGTATGTGACTCACTTGCGTGGTTAATTTGTCATGCGCTGAATAGCTCTTCCTGTCCAATCCAGAAAAATCAGTCCTTAAAGTTTACTTTTTCTGCTTCTGCCAAAGTTACTCCTTTAGTCCTACAATATTCTGCTTTATTAAACGAAGATGGTTTTAATACATATAACATAATTTATAATTAAAAAATATATAGCTGTGATTGTTTTTTTAATGATTTTGATTCGTTTATGACATTTAAGGGGAAAAATCAAAATGAACTGGGCTAGTATTAAATGCATAGCTGCTAGCGGCAGCCTCCAACAGGGATCTTTCCGTCCCTAGGGGCCGAGATTACCTGTACAGAAAAGAATTCATCAAGAAGAGAAAATGCCGTGCTAATTTTAGAAGAAACTCCTTATTGCACATTGACTTAAAGAGAAAGTTTGGTTTTGCTTCTTTTGTGCAGTTCCTCTTAAATAGCTCAAAAGTTTATTTCTTGGGTTCTGGGCTGGTTATGCTAAATAGTGTTTATTCTGTGTTTTCACAGCTGGAGAACCCTCTACATTTAGGCATAGCTCTTCTTGTAGGAGGATTGCTTCTTTCTACGTTAGTGACTCATTCTCCAGACTAATTTGGACAGAAAGTAGTTTTGGGATTTTCATGCAGTCTGGACTGATGCATTCTTTCAGATAAGGGGCTGTGTTCTACCTTTGCTTTACACGTGCATTCTGATTTGCATCAGGTAAAATTCCACCATGTTTAAGAGTAAATACCTCAGACGTGGCCCAGAACAATTTCCTGCTTTTCCAGGACACCATCAGTGTGTGGAATATCCTCATAGATTTAAGGCTAAACAACACTGCAATGGTTTGAGCAGACTTGTCTGCCATTGCGATCAATGGGAGTGGAAAGTACTCAACGTTTCTCAAGACCAGGCCTGAACCTTTGGCAGGAGGTGAAACTCATCCAGGATACTCCCAGACTTAGGCACTGAAATGGTAGTACTACCAGTCCAGAGTGAGGGCATCTACGCAGACATTCATTGTTAACAGTTTTGAGTACTGTGTGAGTGTGTATCTGAAAATATCTCTCCTTTCCACTCTTGGTCTTGTCCGCCCTACCTGTCTGACAGGCTGCCTCCTTGTTTCTTTTTGCTAGCTGTGCCTGTGCCTGTGCTTACTCTGCCCTGTTCATGCTCTCTCTTGCAAACGTTAAAAAACCTGGGACTAACCAAACATGTTTGAATGGCAGGTTAAACTTCATTGTTATTTAAAATATTTAGCTCCCTCATCTTCCTACGGTGCTATCTGTATTCTATTTAACACAGGTCCAGATGCTCAAACAACTAATCGTATGGCTTTAATCACTGTGGCCAAGGGAGTAGCCCCATACCCCCCTCTTACCTGTGGTGACAAAAGTCAGATTCAATTTTTCATACAGATTTAACTCATCATTTCCCAAGAGCTGTGAAATCTTCAGATGCAATAAAATTAAATTGTCCTGAGATTTTAGTTGCTTTGCCCTTCTAGCCATGCTGTTGTTTTGAGGACATATTAATTTTCAGAGGTATTTTAGGTGAGCCAAATTACAATCTAAAATCCATGTAGGTAGACGTGGAGTAATTCCACTAAGTTCACTGATGTAACCTATGATTTACATCACAGTGTTTGGCCCATGGCCTCACCCAGTCTTACCACCAACCTCAGTAAGAAGAAGGTCAATGCTGCTCCCTAGTGGCTTTGAGCTTAGCGCAGACCCAAGTATTCGGTGAAATTCCTTCTGGTCTTACTCTGTCAGTGTTTCCATTAAGAATCTCGATATTACAGCCTGTAAAAATTTATTTTTCCTGAAACCTGACAAGCAATGTATAAAACTGGCATTTCAACCCCACAAATATTAGCATCAGACTAAAGCACAAAATGTATGAGACATTATCCAGCATTGGAGGTTTATCTACTATTTCACTTATTTGGGTTTTAAACCTTAGCATGATTATTTAATAAGTATAAATACCTTCTAGAATTTAAAGAATAAAGAAAAAAATTATAAAAAGAAAATAAAATATTCTGTTATAGAGTAAACAAAACCTGAAAGTAAAAGCATAAAGACACTCAAGTCCTATGCCACTGCTGAATTGACACTTTAAAACCTGTATTGTGAAGCAAATAAATTGTTTGAATTTGGGCAACAATTACTGCACATAGCTTTGAAGCATTATGAAACATCCCTTTTATTGCCTTACCCTCATCTTGACCCACACTCTTCTCTCCGTCCCTATTCTTGTGAATAAAGATCCTTGCATGCAATTTCCCTTTGAAACTTAATGCTTTTAATCATCCTGGAGTGACATGTGTTGCACCATCCAGTCAAGAGCTGAGTAACTTTCTTCCAAAGCACTCAACCCTTTTTCAACAAAAAGGCTCAGAAAATTGAGATCTGGGCCAGAAAATTGTGCTGGCCACAGAATGATTCCTACCAAGCACACTGAGGACCTACACTCATCACGCTCTATTCACAGAGATCAGTGCACTACTGTACGATTAATCTCATTTAAACAAAAAGACTTACTCATAAAGTAAACTTCCACTCAGTATAATCAATATAAAGGGAAGACTGCATAAATGTTCAGACCTAATGTTATGTTTTCCTTTCACAGTGTAATTGGACTCCCAGAAGAAGAGGACTGGCCTAATGATGTTGCCCTTCCAATAAATGCTTTCACTTCCAGACCCGCACAACCTATTGAAAAATTTGTACCAGATATTGATGAACTAGGCAAAGACTTGCTTCTTGTGAGTTTCTATTTGTTTTTCTCTAAGCTGCATGACTGATAGTTCCCACTATGCGTGCAACATGCCAAGAAACATTTATGTTTCCATTTAATGGAGTTATTAAAGACAAGCTCAAAAGTAGGTAGACAAATTCATATAAATCTGTGAAACATCAACACAAAGACACCACCTTTGACTCAAGAGGTGTCAGAGCTGAGAACAATTAGAGACTAGGAAACTGTCAGGGAAGTACCTGTTTGACCTGTCTTCAGAGCTTATGCTTAGATCCCCATTACTGACCACCATCGTGCCACTGATTCAGCCCTTCTTTTAGTATAAGCCTGACATGAGTACAAAAACTGATCTACCATTTTCATGGTATAGTGGACCTGATATAAAGCAGAAAATAGGCTGCAGTGGCAGATTATATCTTTATGCCTTCTATTCAATGCTGAAAACTTCAGATTTGGAATTCACCAATTGTTGCCTCTTGCAGATGGCAGGATTGAACAGAAGCAAACAAATTGTGCTGGTACAACTGGTGACAGTGAATTCAATTAAATTATTTCCATCATTTTTGATGATATGTTATAAACTCCAGCCCTGAAGTTCAGTCTTGGAATGAAATATAGAAAATGGCCTTGCCTCAGTTTGCCTTTTGCCATGCTTTTTGAAATCTAGCCAAATTTTTTCTCTGGAAGCCTTTAAAAGATCTTAGTTCACATGGGCTCAGTAGAGCAGGCTCAGTGCAACTCTTGAAAGACTTGCTGCATCCTTTCAGGAACTACTATCTCCAGCCAAAGTTATCTCTACAGAACACCAGATTGTCCTCCGTTGTCCTTATGATTGCAGCTCTCAGTTGTGGTAAGCTGGACTACATCTGGACACTTGAAATGATAGGAGAAAAGCATCTGTTGTGCTTGCAGGCAGCCTGGAAATGGAAGCTAGACGTGGGACAAGAATTAGATTCTGGGAACAACAAGGAATAAAATATGACAGAGAGCTCAGTGAGTGTGAGGCATGATTAGAGGGAGGAAGAAGACAAGTATCTATGCCTAGGAGAGGAGGTGGAAAGGGAAGCTGTTCCTGTTAGGCAAAGAGATGAGAACTGGGAGCCACAGATGAAAGGGCAGAGTAGGACTGGAAGTCACTGAATTAAATTTCAGAAGTTAAATGATAGAAATTCTGATACAAGAAAAGAAAGAAGAAATAGGAAGTGGTTAGACAAGGATAGTAGGAAGAATGCTACTTGGAGGTGAATGAAGGAAAAGAGAAGAACAAGGTATAAAATACAAGGCTATGGGAGAGATTTCAGTGCTGGCTAGATAAAAGCTGGGATAAAGATCCGGAAAGAAGGCAAGCAAAGAACAACTGGGAAGAAAAGGGAGAAACTGAACACAAAACATTAGCATATGAAAGCTAAAAGTGAAAGACCCAACACCTATAGAAATACTGAGCCTACAAATTCACATAGACATTATGATGTCGTCCATGTTTGTATAACCACAAAAGAACAGTGCATTGAACACTGAGGGGATTCAAAGGTTTTTCATGAATAGTTGCTCCCTGCAGTCTGTGACACAGATGTCCAGTGCATGCAAATTCAAGACAACCTGAATTCTGGTATTTCCTAAACTATGAATACCTGAATTTTCTAACTTGTTATTTTCTGTTAGCTTTGGGGATGCCATAGTCATACACTACGACCTCACTGCTTGTTTTAATATGGATGGTCATCTTATTGTGCAGCACACACTGAGACCCTGTTGTGCCTCATACTGATCATAAGTTGAAGGTGGCATGCATTAATGTGTATATGCAATGTTCGCACTATTAACTGTGCATTTTAGTTAAAACCAACTTCTTTTCGTACTTACAGAAATGCTTAGCGTTCAATCCAGCCAAGAGAATATCTGCCTATGTTGCCCTCTCTCACCCGTATTTTCACGATCTGGAGAAATGCAAGGAGAATCTGGACTCTCACATGTCATCCAGCCAAAACTCCAGTGAGGTGAATGCATCGTAATGCTGACTGAAGATGAACCATAAATGAACAAAACACGTAGCTGACAAGCCCACTGTCTCACACAAACCACATAGCTGTTCTAGGGAAGATCATTATTTAGAGGTTTTATGCACTTATCTTTTACTTTGGGATTGTGATGTGCTTATCCAAGGAAATCAATCTAGTTTACTTTCATCAGATTAACGCAAGGGCCGGGGCTTTGACCTGCTCCCATTGCAGCTTTATGTTTGCTTGGGTTTTGTTCTGTTTATCTACCTGGGAAAACTCCAGAGGAAGAGAAGCTGCTGACTGGTTTTGCTGTCATTTTATCCTTTTAATATTGAATGCTGCCAGCGTGGAGTAGGATGATGGAGTCACTGCCAAAACATGATGCAATCTCTCTCTCTAGCTGCTGAAGCATAATTTGGTACTTTTTAAATTATTATTATTATTATTATGTGATCTCTTACAGCAATATTGTAAGAATGGCATTGAAATATCAGGTCTCTGCAATCAGCAGTTAACTGATACATGCATTAATACATCCAGCTACTGTTCATTCATAGCGTATATGCAGGTGCTTCCCCACTTGAAAACTTGGATGGATTATTTTATCATTTCATTGCTTTATAAAAATAACAGTGGTGATAGTGGTCATAATAAATGTCTCAACTTTTAGGTTTTTTCATACACAAACAAGTTATTATCTAGCTATGTTTGTGTGCATCTTGCAAAAAACAAGTGTTTTAAAAAACTTCTAGAGTTCTGTTCTTAAAGACTCAGTTTCAAAATGGTCGGTTTGCGTTGAAATCCAGGCACATTCTAGCTGATCATCGAACCCATCATTCCTGCCTGGAAACAGCTGTAAGCACATTTTCTTTATCTCATTCCAAATTTTCTGATATACAGCTCAAAGACATGAACAGAGCCAATGAAAATCAATATAGGTTTTTGCCTTCAATCTGTTCTAATTATCAGCCAAAAAGGAAAATAGAAAAAACATTTCCAGTTCAGAAGCAGAGAATGCTATCCCTGTAATAAGCACAGACATGTACTTGTGCTGAATTGTATGCTGTATACTGCGCTGCCTTACCTGCAACACCCCGTCATGCATCACAAGTGCATGAACATTACTGTCAGAAAATCCCTCAGATCTCATTTATTAAGAAGACTTGTTTCCTATGCAGAAATGCATGAGCCTCTCTCCTAAACCACCATGTGGGTATACCGGCACATGCTTCTCCACTAGGGTTAATGTGCCATTATTGAATGTCAAAATAATTAAGCAATTCACATGCCTTTATAGCACAGTTAATTTAAATTACATTAAATTTTTATATTTAGTATTTTTACCTTAACTAAAATATATTTTCAGTATTTTAAAAAGAAGCTTTTATTTTTTTAATACTGTACTGGGAAAAAAAGAAATATTTTAAGTCCATAAAAGCTGTTCACCAGCATGACTCTAGTGCATTTACCTGGAAATGACTTGGGGGGAAATATTGGTCCAATGAGTTAGCCCTTACCATAAAACCATAAATATACACTATTGTCGTATAACTGATGATAAGTGAGGCAGCTAGCTTTGCCTACTCCTGTGATAGTCCCTTAGGCTTCTCTCTTCCTCACCTCTATTTCATCTTGTTTAGCTAGTGAGCCAGCATTATATCCTCATTCACAGCATGCTTGGCAGCAGCAAGTCCTTAGGAGTGAGTTGAGCAATATAATTTTTCCGGCTGTGGCACAGGAACTTGTAGCTGTCTCCCTGGCAAGTTTCTCAGTCCTGTGGTAGACTGGCTGTTGTGGTGAACTTCCCTGTTAACTCCGGTTCAGGTATCTGCACTGTCTGGGACATGGTACATTGCCAGAAGAGTTAGTGGGTCTTATCTGTCTCTTGGGTGAAGCTTTTTGTTACTGTTAGACGCATAACTATGCGACGTATGGTTACATTAGATCTGTTTTAAGTAAGCCAGATTTTAAAAGGACCACTTGCATGCATGCATGCAGTGGCCTGTGCTTTTCTTCATGCCCAGAATGATGCCTATGCAAAAACCTACCAGCATGAACAGGCAAGTTGCAAATTGGCAAGAGCATGCATGAGGCATCTGCACACAGATACTACAGATGCATAACACAGGAGTTTTGGAAGCTCTGCAAGCAGCAAGCTGAAGGCCAGGGAGCGGTCACAGCAGCTAACCCTCTAATCTTGGCCTTGCCTCTGTCATTCTCTCCGTTCCTACATCCAAGGGAAACTGCAAACCCACCGCACTGGTGTTGTCCAAGCCCTATTCCACCACGAGTCGATGGACCTGAGTGTGAATAGGTTTTAACATTCACAGAAAAGGATAGGCCAGAGTGAAATTTTTGCTAATCATTTTTAAACACTAGTGAGAACAACAAACAGAGACAAAATTCAGGAGAATCTTGCGACAGTAACAAATAGAAAAGTTTTCTACACAGTTTAGCACTTTTAAAAACATTCCACATTTTACCTAGCACCCAGCTGTTGTACATACTTTATCAGGGCATTCAGCTGGTGTGGCTTTCCAGCAGCTGTCAGGGAACTCTCCCAGAGTTCTCCAACAACTAACATAGGGTGAAAATGTAGCGGAGGAGGGAGTATTTTCAAATTAGACTCAAAACTCCAAGACAGAGATGTGCATCTGTTCTGTTAGAAGAGCTTGTTGTATTACGCTTAGTGAAGCAAAGGCTAGAAGAGAATATGATTGCTGAATGTAGGTACATTATTAGGGTAAAACAAAAAGGAGGGAAAAGAACACTTTAAGCCAAAGGTTAGTGTTGGCCCGAATACTAATGAGAATATGGAAATCACAAGGAAGTTAACTACTGAAGCAGTATTTCCCAATCTGTAGTATCAGAAGAAAAGCTCAGAGAGCAGCAGAGAGAAGTAGGGGCTGGCTCACAAAGTCAGAAGTGGAGCTTCTGCAACATGGTGCTGTATGTTGTCTAATATAGGATCAGGTTATAAATGGGGGTATTCAGGAGAATAGCTTGAGAAGGGCTGCATTAATGGTCATGTTCTGGAACATCCTTCCAGTGGGAATGGCAGGAACAGAAAAAGAAATCTAAGTTCTGTCTTGGCAGGGTTAGGGAAAAGATTTATCTAATGGGGTCCTTGTGGTGGCAAGGGCCTAGATTCAAAGGACCAAAGACTTTTTAAATGATCTCCTTTTCAGAATCTCTTTAGGAAGAAATACCATTTGACATGCCATAGGCTCACTCTTTTTCCAGTCTTCCCTGCCAAACCGTGGGACTTTACTTATACAGTAAACTGAGAAAGCCTGTTCTCTGGCTGGGCAAAGTGTTGGCACTGGCTAAAATCATGCCAGGAATCATGCTCATAATTAGACAGTACAGACAACCGTGGGACTGTGCTCAAGCCCATGCCCGTGCTTTTTTTATTTTACTGGTATAGCTTTAGTAACTGAGTACCTTTACTCATTACTGCCATACGTGTAGGATGTAGGAATTGTGTATGTGAAAAAGAAAGTGCTCCTTGACATGCATTTTCCAGACTGTGATGAAAACTCTTCGTACGTGCTTTAAATAAGACTTCAGAGTGCAATTCTTTTAATCAATAACTATGCCTGTATGTGTTCTACAGGACTGTTTCAACAGCAGCTAAAAACCACTGAATAACAAAAAATATATTAAAAATAGGTATAGATGTTTAGCACCTAAAGCACCCACCACCAAGCATTGTGCTCTTCTCAGCAGAGAACAGGGTGTTCTAATAGAAGGAGCAATTTCTGTCTCCCCCCAATCTTTTTTTTATCACCACTACATAATTCTGCAAGGAAAAACAGACCCAATAGCCAAGGAAAAAAATCACCAAAGCCAGCTGGTGAAGTGCTAGAGTGCTGAACCCTAGCAATACATCTGAAGCAGCCCTTTTCTCTCTTCACCCTGTCTCCACACTCACTCTAGCTCTCCAGTTCTTCTCCTTCAGCTCCCTTAAGGAAACAGGTTTCAGTCATACTCACAGGTGCTATTTCCATCAAGATTCTTCCAAATTTTCAATAGCTATGCAGTGGCAGTGTCCCCAGCATCCCTGTTACCAAGTGTTGCTTCTTTCAGTCCAGCAGCCCAGAACCTATGATTAAAAAAGAGTCTCTTTGTGCACCTCCTTGCTTACCATTAGTTTTTCATAAACCTATGTTGCCTTCTGTGTGCCAAGTAAAACTCTGAACGTAGAGTTTGTGCATATTTCTGTGTAGGTTGTGCCCGTACTCCATGTTTTTTACAGCCTATTAGTCCACAACGGTAAATGTTAGAGTACCTTTCTCTGTTGTTTCTATTGTAAAACACACCAAAAAAGGAGGACGTCATGTTTGCAAAATATTGAAATTTGGTGCTATGTGTACAGAGCCTTTTACATGAGAGGAATCAGTAAGTTGTAGCATTTGAGCATCTTCTGCATAGGGGATGGTATCCAGCATTGTAACTCTTACATGGTTTTTACACTCAATGGTTGTTTTGGTGAATAAGAAGAAAATACTGTGCCATGCTACTTTGCACAGGTTCACTCACTGTCTTTGAGAAGTATGTTTTTGTTACACATGCAGTTCTCTATGCTGTTAGGTATTAGGTCAACTTTAATATGGAAAATAAAGAGAAAACATACTGGTTTGGTCTTTTAGCCAACAAACTTGAAGCACTTACCAGACTCACAACTGAAAACGCATCAGTTGTTAAATATGTATATGAATCAGAAACCACACAGTTTGGTTTAAAAGGCCACATAAATTAATTATGTTCCATGTATAAGACACAGTTGAATAATGAGGAAGTTTATTCTAAGAACTCTGTTTTATGGAACCACTTTGCTAATATTTTTCATATACAGTAGTTTCATGAATGGATTGATTTTTATATACAATGTGAATTAGAAGATATTAGACTATTAGAGTGATTTTGTTGTGCTATGCTTGAAGCTTGAATTGATCACAAGCTTAGGAACCTAACATATTTATTTTATTGCTATAAAACTGCTTCTAAATATCAAGATCTTTTTTGATGTTAACAGGATTTCACACTTCTCTTAATGTGTAAATGATTATCTTGAAGTCAGTATATTAGAAAAAAACATTTTTCCAAACTGCAGTTGTGCAGGAGAACTTAAATATATTTTTACTTTCACAGAAAATAATAACATGTTGTATACTCAAATCTTCAGTAACTGACTGTTAATAAGCTATCACTTTTACTTCGTTTTGATTACTAAGTACTGGAGTATACAGATTACTTTCCATGAAGAAAAAGTTCAGAAACAACGTCTAGAGAAGTAAATGGGATTTTATATGTTTAACCTTCCAAGTTTCATTTTCATATCCTTTTTTTTTTTGTGCAAGTACAGTTCAAGCATGCAAAACACAACTACAATTTTAACAGTCTAACAGGCTGTACGACTCAAATAGGAGGTTTATGTGAGCTATTTATTTTACTATATCTCTTTGTTTTGCAAATTGTTAGTTAATGGCTGTAATATAATTCTAGTTTCTGGACTAGACTGTGTAACCATCAAATCCCAGTAATTTATGTAAAACAGAAAGAAGCTTTCTCATCAGTTTAAATGAACTAGGCCATTAGAAGAAGAAAGATGTGGACGTATGAACTGACAAATATATTTTTGGCGAGTGTTATTT